CCAACCTGGGCAACTTGAGGAGGAGGAATGAGGAGGGAGGAGAAGGAGAAGAAGAGGGGGAGGAGGAAAGAAAAAGTAAAAGAAAAAAAAGAAGAAAAAAGCAGGGTGAGATGGCTTAGCAGGTAAGGGTACCTGATACTAAACCTGATGACCTGAGTTCAGTCCCCCCACACCCACACACATACACATATGCACACACAAAATAAATGAGTAAAATAAATGTTTGAACATAAATAGAAAGAGGAGCTTAGTGAAAGGATAGTTCACACCTAGGTATAGTTCTAGGCGTTTCAAGGAGTCAATACAATTTTGTTGTATTTTGGGAAGGAGCATTTTATTGTTATTGTTTTAAGGATTTATTTTATTTTTAATTATGTGTGAATCTGTGTGTGGATATGTACAGTCCCTTCAGAGACCAGAAAAGGCTGTCAGATACTCTGGAACTGGAGTTAGAGGCAGTTGTAACCTGCCCAAAACAGATGCTAGAGACCAAACTTAAGGCCTGTAAGAGCAGCAAGGACCCTGACTGTCCTGGAGTGGAGCCAAGGACCCTCACTGTCCTAGAGTGGAGCCAAGGATCCTGACTGTCCTAGAGTGGAGGATCTGAAAGACTTGGAACAAGTAGTACTACTTAGAGGCATTGGGCAAAAAGGTTACCTACCTCTTATCCTTTCAGTATCTCTTCCACAGAAAGGCAATCATAGCTACATTGTCATAAACAATGGTACAGATGAAAAAAATGTAAATTCTTTGGGATCTGTGTTTTGTTATTTTGTTTGAGATTGGGTTTCACTATGTAGCTCAGGCTGGCCTTGAACTTGAGATTTCTGGCTCAGCCTCCCACATGCTGGAACCACAGGTGTACAGCACCATTGCTAAAGCATAAAGATTATATTATTTTTCTTTGTGTGCATGCATGTGTGTGCTACAGAAGCTATGCAGAGGTCAGAGGACATTGCTGGGTGTCAGGCCTTAACTTTTACCTTTAGACAGGTTCTCTTGTTGTTGCTGCTGAATATGCCAGACTATCTGGCCCACGAGCTTCCGAGGATTCTCCTGCCTTCACCCCCATCTCCAAAGGAACCTTGTGATTATACTGCCTCAACAGCTTTACCTGAGTTCTGGGGATCCCAGCTCATGTCTCCACACTTGCTCAGCAAGTCTTTACCCACGGAGCCAATTCCCCAGTCCCTGTTATTTAATCTTTGCTTTTTAGCATTGCTGGGAATTAAACCTTAGTCTTTGCACAGGGTAAGACAAACACTCTACTGCTGAGCACTAGAAATTACTATTGTTATTACTTTGGATTTTTATTTCTTTATTTTACTTATTTATTATTATTATTATTATTATTATTATTATTATTTTGGTTTTTCAAGACAAGGTTTCTCTATGTAATAGTCCTGGCTGTTACTTTGAATTCTTTTTTTTGGGGGGGGGGCATGGTTCGAGACAGGGTTTCTTTGTGGCTTTTGGGGGTGTCCTGGGACTAGCTCTTTTTTGTCCCACCAGGTCCCACAGATGCTTTGCCCCAAATAAACACACAGAGAGACTTATATTAATTATAAACTGTTTGACTGATGGCTCAGGCTTCTTACTGGCCAGGTCTCTCTTAATTATTAACCCATAACTATTAATCTAGCATTTCTTTCTTTCTTTTTTTTTCTGAGACAGGGTTTTTCTGTGTAGCTTTGGAGCCTATCCTGGCACTCGCTCTGGAGACCAGGCTGGCCTCGAACTCACAGAGATCTGCCTGTCTCTGCCTACCGAGTGCTGGTATTAAAGGCATGTGCCACCAACGCCCAGCTATTAATCTATGTATTTCTACATGACCTTATCTTACCAGAGAACACCCAGCACGTCCTATCTTCCCGGTAGCTATATGGCATCTATCTGGCTGCTTCTCTCTGCCTTCCTCTCTCCAGAATTCACCACCTCTGGTAGCCCCGCCTATACTTCCTGCCTGGCTACTGACCAATCAGTGTTTTATTCATTAATCAATAAGAGAAACATATATACAGAAGGACATCCCCCATCAGAGGGGGATTTTTTTTCTTTTTTTAGTTTTAGTTTTAGAATTTATGCTTAATTCAAAAACATTCATTATTTGAAAATACTGGAACAAAAATAAACAGTTGTGCTCAAAAGTACATTGGCCTAAAGCAATGATTCCAGATCTGGTTTAGGGAATCTCCCCTCCCAGGTGTGTGTGAGAGAAGACCACTTTAATGATACAGCACAGCCAGGCATTCGCCTGTAAGCTCAGCACCTGAGGCGGAGGTGGGAAGATCAAAGCAAAGTCTGTTTTACAGACTGAACTCCAGGCCAGCTGGGGCACAAAAGCCAGGCAAGGGGTCACGCACATTTAATACAAAACTCAGGAGGCAGAGGCAGGGGGGTCTTGGAGGGTTCAGGGACAGCCAGGTCTACATAGCAAGTTCCAGGATAGCCAGAGACCCTGTCTCAAAAATCTAAAATTAATCCCCGCCCGACCCCCAAATGAAACAAAACAAGGGGTTGGGGACAAGCCCTTGCTACAGCTCCAAACGACCTGAATTCAGTTTCCAGTGGCACACAACTGCTTGTAACCACGCCCTCTTCAGACTTTTTGGCACCCCTGCTTGACCCCAGACTCTTAAAACTAGATTAGAGTCCCTGTTTCTCATTCAACTTCCAGTTTCTGCTTAACCTGCACTCAGTAAGGCACAGAACAGCAGCCACCTGGTGCTGGGTAAGAGGTAAATTCCTGATGGGAGGGTGGTCTTGGGTGAAAGGGAGATGTAACATGAATTCTAGTTGGTCTTAATAATAAAAACCCAGAGACAGATGCTGGGTTTAAAGCTGAAGATCAGAGAAGCAAAGCAGCCAGCCACTAGAGAGTTCTTATCTCTACCAATGTTCAGACCAAAGGGCGATCCTGTCCTCAGTTTGTATCTCCAGACTCACTCAGACTGCCCTAAGCTCCTGACTCCTACCACTTTATATTCCTCTCTAGTGCTGAAATTAAAGGGATGGGATCCCAAGTGCTGAGATCACCTTTGTGTGAGCTCTGTTTCTCTTTTACACAGATTCAATCTTGTGTAGCTCAGGGTGACCTTGAACTCACAGAGATCCCTCTGCCTCTGTCTCCCAAGTGCTTGGATTAAAGGTGTGCTCCACCACTGCCTGGCCTCTATCGCTAACTAGTGTGACTAGCTTTGTACTCTGATCTTCAGGCAAGCTTTATTTGTTAGATCATAAATAAAATATCACCACAGGGAGAAGATTTGATATTCTAGCAAAGAGGAAAGGAAAAAAAAATGGCTAGGAAGCTAGTCAGATGTGAGAATCTTGGAGGATGTCGGGGCAGGATATCTCCATGGTCAGCAGTCTTCGAAATAAAGCTTGTTAATGAAGAATCAGAAAATCAGGCCTGAATCACCTTCTGGCTATGGGAGGAAAAGTGGCCTTCAGACTGCCATGATCTCCCAAGCTGCTGAATAGATAACTGCTTGCTCCAGGCTCCATGATGCTCTCCTGAACCTCATAAATTGGTTGCACAGCAGGAGGCCTCTGGTAAAACAGTAGTATATGGGAGGGTTCACTGAGACCCTTTCTGAAAAGCCAGTGCCAGTCAGTCCAAACAGATGCAGCAATCACTTGGGTTTTGTTTTCACTAACAGAGAAGCTGGCATAGATCCTGTCTAATGTGGTTGCTAGGTCAGTCTGGTCTCTTTGGCCATTGTCATTGCTATCTTTGAAAGTGTACTGTGTTTGCTTTTCAATGACCTTTGCCTGTCTCCCCCAGCACATTCTGTGTCTTAATTCTTTCCAGAGATTACGAGGGGAGTCTGGGGTTGAGCCAGCAACAAAATCGCATCACATATTATCAGCAAGCAGAGAAGACAGGCTACAGAAGGGGAGAGATGGGGCACTGCTGCTGAGTGGTACAGAACCTGCCTATTTTGTGAGAGGTCCTGCTACCAGGCTCCCCACCACACACACAAAGTTAAAAGTCAATAAATCTGCCTCAGAGCCAGAGTTTGCAATGAACAAAGAAAACAGGTAAGTAAGGTCAACCCGCCCAGTGTCCTAAAGGAGCCAGTCCTCAGCCTTGGAAGTGTCTCAGTAAATAGACACAGCCTTGTCCTTGCTTTCTCATGAATGCTAATAGACATAGCTAATGCATTCGATACTGACTGGGATAGGGATTGCATCACTGCTCTACATAGACCAATGCTGGAGAGATGGGATGGCTCAGTAGTTAAGAGCACTTGCTACTCTTCCAGAGGTCTTCAGTTTGATTCCAGAACCCATGTCAGGAGTAAAATACAAAAATAAAAATTTTAAAAAGTGTCTTAGGGCCATGAATGCCAAATCTCAAGTATGTTATACTGTTTAGTATACAGGAGATTTTAGTGAGTGAACATTCATAAAACTGAAAATTTGTAAAAGTGTGTGCTTTTAATCCCAGCACTCAGAATACAGAGGCAGGCAGATCTCTGTGAATTCAAGGACAGACTTGTCTACAAAGCAAGTTTCAGGCTAGACTAGCCAGAGCTACTCAGTGAGAACCTGTCTCAAAAAAGAAAAAGAAAAAAGAAAAGAAAGAGAAAGAGGGAGGAAGGACGGAAGGAAGGATGTGTAAGAAATACATGCATGTGCTTTTCCTCTACCACCTCCTTTATTAACCTATTCATATAAGGCAGGTTCCCCAAAAGCTGGAAACAGAAGATACATGTGAAGTTTCATTTTGTTTCGTTTTGTTTTGAAGACTACCCGCTTACCACCTTACTACCACTCTATCTCCACTTTACTTATGATAACGATCCCCAAATGCTTTAAATTTTTAAAAGATTTATTTACTTTATGTATGTGAGTGTCTGCCTGAATGTATATATGTGCACCATATATGTGTTTGGTGCCCACAGAGTTCAGAAGAGGGCATTGGATCCTCTGGAACTGGAATTACAGATGGCTGTGAGCTACCATGTGGGTGCTGGGAACCGAACCTACACACAGGTCCTCTGCAAGAACAGCAAGTACTCTAACCCACTAAAACCATCTCTCTAACCATGCCCCCTCCCAAATTCTTTTAAAGACATTTATTTTCTGTCTTTTTCTAAAAAGTCTCACTATATATCCTAGAACTCCCTGTGTAACCCAGACTAGCCTTGAATTTATGAACAATGCTCCCTTTTCAGCATGCCAAATGCTAGGATTATGAGTTTGTACCACCATACCCAACAAGACACACCTTTTTAGTGCAATAATTTGTCTTTTTTTTTCTACAAAACAAAACTTGATTATTGTTAATTTTTGCACATGTGTGTGTGGTTTGTGTATATGCATGTTTGCATGTATATGGTGTGTGTGTGTGTGTGTGTGTGTGTGTGTGTGTGTGTGTGTGTGTGTGTTTATCTGTGGTGTGT